TTTTGTTAAAAATCCCTTTTCCCAGTGTGCACTGAAGCATCATGAAATATTTTCATTTATCAGTTAATGTTTTTGTCTTGAACAGTATACATCATACATTTCATTCCTAGTTGTAACCAGAACTTTTAAATACAAAAAACAAAAATCTTTCTGGTATTCAACACAGTGTGTCTGTTGCAACAGGATTGTAAACAATGATGTGTAGAAAGGATGCTGGTACTGTGTACGATTGCATAGTACCAGAAAAATGCCTAGTGTGTAACAATCATTGATTAGGATTACATACTTTATTTCATGAACACACCATATTCAAATAATGTGATTACTGAAGCTCATGTTTACAGAAAGGTTTTATTTTTGACAAATTTTTTTTTTTTTACAAGTTTAATTATGTGTCATCATTTTCTGGGTTCATTATGAAAAGGCCTGTTGGCATATTGTGTTGTGATTTATAGCTAGGCTGTGATATCTGTACCTTTCAACCCAAATGGGGCTTCACAATTAAAAGGTGGATACTGATATATAATCTGCTGTCATTGTATAAACATTCAGCCTTGAAACTGGAGAATGAAAGTGAGGCTACATTATTTATGCTGGTACAAGTCTGAGTGTTCACAAAACAGTCTGGCCAGAATATAGTTGCACAACCAGTGATATAAAACAACATGTTTGACTTTCAAAGTATGTGTCGAAAAGTAACAAACAGTACCATTGATAACGCAGCTGCATAGCATTAAAAAATATTTTTGAAAAAAAAAAAAAACAAGAAAGAAAATAATTATGATTTATGTCAACCAAACATATTGTCAGTTTTGAAATTTGTTGTTTGTTTAACTTTTGGACACACTGTTTTTGCATATTTAGTACCCACTGCAGTCTTTGTTTTTCCAAAGTTAATGTTGTTTTGCTTCATTGTAGTGAAAAAAAATAAGCTTGTCATAAAAACAAATGAAAGAAACACTTTTGATTTTTTCAAAAGAATTTAAAAAAAATTTTTTTTCATATGTTGTTTGCATATTATGAACACTGACAGAAAGATCAATGAACATACACAAGGACTTATATTTGTGCTTTATCAGAAGAAACTCCACAGGGGAGCATGTACAGCAGGAGTCTACCAATCATCAGTAGAAGTAATCTCTCGTCGACAAATGTTTCGGCCCACGAGCTTTTAGACATTTTCAGAGAGTGGGCCCACCTGACTTTATAGATTATAACAAAGCATTTGACAAAGTTAAACATAAGGAGATGATAAATATGTTGAAAGACATCAATGTAGATGGGAACGATCTCAGAGTAATTAAAAATGTTTACTGGTAACATGTAGCAGCAATTAATGTGGAAAACAGATTGGGTACTTTTTAACAGATAAAGTAATGGATAAGACAGGGATGTTTCTTATCCCCAGACCGTTTCTCTCTTTATAGTGAAGTACTTTTTGAGGGAAATTAAAGAGAAAGCAGGAATAAGAGTTGCTGCAAAGGCAGCATTTCAGAAAATAAAAAATATTTTATACAATTAGTCGCTCTCTTTTAATGTCAGAAAGAGAGTGCTAAAATGTTACATAGAACTTGTTTTGCTGTATGGCAGCCAATCTCGGAATGGGAACGTCAGTGAACAAATTTAGAAGAATTTGGAAGCAACAGAGATGTGGTTTCTGAGACGAAAGCTATGAATACCTTGGACAACCAGAGTAACTAACAAACAACAATTGTTTGAAAGAAGCAAATGAAAGTAGATCTCTATATACAACAAAAAGTGCAGGATAAGATTAGAGAAAGTGTAAGGATACGATTGGAGAAAGTGTAGTGATTAGAAAAAAGTTTAAATAAGGATTAGATAGACAGAAGTTGATGTAGAGAAAGTGTAGAGATTGTATATAGTTAGCTGCATATTCTTTACAAGACGTTGTAGAACCAAACCCCAGCAATTTTTGGCTGTTGCTGTTTTTGTAGGCAAATTTTACTTTAAGTTGTTTGCCATTACCACTATCAAGATGTGTATTAAGCAGTGATTCCCAAACTGTGCACTGTGGTGCCCAGGGGAGTCAAGACCTCTTCAGGGGGATGCCGCAAAATATTCTAAAGATACCGAAGTTTTTTTTTCTTTTTTTATCTCTTACATACGTATAGTTATAATTTTACTTAGGTTAGAGGTGCTGTGGAAACATTTAAATTGAAAAAAGCCGCCAGTGACTACTTAAAAAAAGTTTGGAAAACACTGGCATAAAGTATAAAAAGTTAAAGATTAGTATAGAGAAAGATTAGATATTGGTGTTGAAAACATTTAGAGATTGTTAAGGTGTAGAGTTTATGATGGAAACTACAGGAAAACACATTGTTAGAATTCTATGCAATTTTAACTTCAGGGTGAGGACAAAAGAATTGTATCCAGCCCAAAATAATATTTGAGTCTTTTCTTCAAATATAATAATGCCCATCATGTCTACAAACTATGCAGTTTCAAACGATACCAGAGTTATTATGTAAATGTAATGGCCACTGTCCAAGGACTTAATGTCATCAAAAATCTCATAAAAGCTGTCGATTCAGGTTTCCCAGGTTAAAAAACAGAAACAGAGATCTCACAACCTAACAATTCAGAGCATCTTTCTAGCTACAGATATATCAACTTGTAATAGTCATTTGATTTTCTAAGAAGAAAAATAAAAATTGAAATAGTTTTTATTGATACCTTTCTGCCTTTCAAGACAGTAATGCTATATTGTGTGGTAGTGAGCAGAGATGTCGAGTGTGATTAGGTAGACCTGCTTGCCTTAAGAAAATTCTTTAAAAAACAGAACCTCTTTTCCATAGCACAAAGCCTGGACAGTATTGTAGAGGCCATGATTTGCATAAAATATAGCCACACAAAAAAAAACATAAACTAAAATACTTTGGCAAGAAATGTTGTAATGTGTGAACCAACACAAAAGTGAATACAAGACATTAAGGACACCTTGGACTTGAAAATACTATGTGGCAGAGGAATTCACAGTGAAATAAACATGCTTTTTTTGTGTGTGGTCACCATTAACAAAGCTAGTCTGTGTGCATTGGTTGTTCCAGTGTTTTTTTTTTAAATATACATTTTTTTTTTTCAATAAGAGTAATAGCCTATGTTTGCCTTGTTTTGTTTTGACTTCTGTTGAATTTTCTATCAGTCTGCATAATGAGCATAACAAACTTTTAATGATACATGATAAATTATTACACTTAACAAATGAAAAGGTATATAGAAAGCAATACTTTTATCAGCCTACTTACCTACTTAACTGTCTGTCTGCCTCCCTGCTACATATCTATTAACCTACTTTTTATACCAACCTATCTGTCTGTGTTTGTCTGTCTGTTTTATCTGTCTATGATACATTAATGGATAACACACAGCCTTTAAACATACAAACATGTGATGAAAAGATGAATTAGATAAAAAAAAAAAAAAAAGAGATACAGCGTTGCCACAATCTTGAAATTATGTATGTATCATGAATACCATTAGTTCTTGTATCTCTCTCATGCTGCAAGGCTTTGGAGTTTCATGAGGTAAACAGTATTTGTAGCACATACTTCTGTATCATTAAGTTTTTGTGATATTTAGTGCTATCTCGCTGTCATTAGGGAAGATAATAGGGGCTTTTGAACTGACATGCAATAGAATCATATTGAGAATACCATGGACAAAGAAGAAAACAAAAACTAACATCCCAGAAGACAAGAACATCAAGGGATGTTTGCTGGCAACAGCATTTTCTCTTGGAAACTGGAATATTGTGGCCAAATAAAGATTCAAACAACAAATAATAGCAAAAGGCATTGTACCAGAAAAGAGAGGCAGGGACCTACCAGCACAATGATGGACACAAGATATAAGGGACACTTTGGGTAAGAAAGTGCATAAGGCGGGAAAGTGAGCAAGAGATAGGATTTCTGTAAGGCAGATCCTGATGAGAGTGACATTCTGCAAAGGACCTGCCACATTATGATGAGGATGTTATTAAGATCTGATGCAAACACAAAATGTCCTGTCTTCCTTACCCACACAGGATTACAGGTTAAGAGCCTGTGTTGCCATTACTGGTTTCCAGTTACAACTTTTTTTTAAGGTTAAACTTGATATTCAGGATATGTCTTGTTGGTCTGCCGTCCATATTTAGATTTTGTAATCTCAGGGGATCAAACCTTCAGACAGCAGCCTGAAGGTTAGGTGATCGTGTGGGAAGGTGCCTTATATTATAATTTTGCATATGTATGACCAATTTTTCATGACTGCCTACTTCCATCAACGACAAACCGCATTTCTGGTGATGACTGCTGACTTTGGCGCCTCTGGCAACTGGCTTATGCATTTATGGCTTGTGCATATTTCTGGATAGTTTTTTTTCACCAGTAAGAAAAATTTTACTTGATTGCAGTGAAGTTGAAACCTTGAAAACGACTACAACTTTCTTGGCCACATGTGACTCTGATATGAAATGTCGTGTGACATCGGCTTCTTTCAGTTCAGCACCATCCAGTTTGAGCAAACTTCTAATTAGTCACCTTTTCCGACAATGTGTTTACCCTCTCTGAAGAAGATGGCAATTGGAGGATGCAGTCTCCAGAAAATGAAGCAGATGCCAACCACCAAGGAAGCGGATACAAGACATTGAAGATGCATTGGCTAAGAAAGCACACAGGGCTGGAGAATTGGCTAGAAAAAGAGACTTTCAGAGGTGCCATAAAAAGAGTGATGTTCTGTAAAGGACAAGCTGATTGAATAAATCTTTGGAATAGAGGTGGTTAAAGTAACAGCTGCTTGGGACTGAAAGAGTTAAGTTCACTTCACAGTTTTCATTATAGATTGTTTGGTCTCTACAACTACTCTAATGTCTTCTTGCACTGAAAGATTTACAGCCAAATCTATGTCAAATTAATGTCAAATCTGTGTACAAGCCAAATCCAGTGTAAATAAACTGTTGATTTTATTCATATGTGAAACAATCTTTTCCATCTGTGTAGGCAACAGCTATTCTTGCTCAGAACCTGAGAGAGAAAGTGGAATCCATAGCATTATGGCAAGATGTCACCAGTCAGACTATCAGGGAACTCAATCAGAGTATACAGGATCTACCTAATGATGTAAGTTTGATATTGTCAGTGCATTTTCCAGTTATTCAGGATATCATCATTTTATAAGTGCACTTTCATGGTTTCATGATATGGGGATCTCTCTAATTTACTTCATCTTTTCTGTCTTTGTTTTCTTGTAAAGGCCCCCAACCAATGTATGTCAGTCTTTTCTGTCATTTTTCATTTCTTGTCCTTCTCATATTATTCATTTTTGTTTCTAATTATCTTTCGTGTGTGTGGGTGTGTTTCTATGTATGTATGTATGTATGTCAGGCTTTTCTGTCATTGTTCATTTCTTGTCCTTTTCATAATATTCATTTTTGTTTCTAATTATCTTTTACATGTGTGTGGGTGTGTTTCTATGTATATATATATATAGTAAAAGTAAGTACAGGACCCTTTTCTATGCCTTCAGGCGTATTGCGCATATAGGACTAGACCTATATTTTATAGACCAAATCTCACTTAGTGGTTGATGTGGTCAGCATCACACTGGCCACCTTTACTTCCCAGGACTGTACCTGGTATCCACTCAAGGATGGGTTGACCTGGGAGCCAAGATCATTTAAAAAAAAAAAAAACAGGGACATCCTCTGTCAGGACTTAAAGCCACAACCTTCTGATCCGCAGCCGAGCGTTTAAAAAAAGAAATCTGACCAGTTACCACATCCTATAGAATCTTGAGGTCTATTAAACTTGTAGAAAAGGGTTGGCATGAGTTAGTTGAAGGCCCAAGCTCTTTTAAGAGTTTTAAGGCAAAAGTTGAAGGCAGAAGAATCATTGTTACTTGTAAAAAAATTCTAGATTTACGAACATAGAATCATCAAACAGGCACTGAAATGGGATTGAGGTAAAGAAGGCGTCCTAGAGAATCTGAAAGGTAAACATTAATGAGAGAAGTCAGAGGTGCAGGAGTGGATTTCATCTTTAATAATAAGTGATTGCACCGAACAGAACAGAATGAATAAATAGACTGTGAACCTCAGGCTCTACAAGAGCATCATTTTGCCAGTTCTTCTTTATGGAGCGGAATGCTGGAGAATGACCAAAAAGGATGCACACAAGCTGTCCACCTTCCACCACACATGTCTACGTAAAATTATCAAAATTTTCTGGCCAGATACAATCCCAAACACTAAACTACTTCAAGTCACAAACCAAGAAACTTTAGACAGTATGATAGCCCAGAGAAGATGGAAATGGCTTGGCCACGTTTTGAGAATGAATCCTGATATATCTGCCAAAACAGCTCTCACATGGACACCAGAGGGAAAGAGAAAACAGGGGCACCCAAAAACAACATGGAGACGAACGATGGAAAGTGACCTGAGTGCGGCATCTCTGACATGGAAAACTGCACTAAAGATTGCACAGGACAGGAAAGCATGGAAAGTCCTCTCTGAAGCCTCATGTGCCACTAGGCATAACGAGAACTGAGAAAAGTGAGAGAGAACCTCATGTGACATAATGGTACAATAGGAAAATGAATGAATAAATAATGTTTCTTATAGTCCATGCTATCTAGCTATCATATCTGCCCACACTGTCTCATATAGTGCTGGCCATTTATGACTCAGACTTGTCTCTATGACAGAATGTTCAACATTCTTTCTCTGAGAGTATAGTTCATGTTATATATTAATGAGACTATTTCTGTTTGATCAGTTATTAAAGATTTATGCAACTCACCTTGAAATTAAATTTCAATTCTACATCAGATCTATACACTTGAAGAAAAACAAAAACTGCTGAAAGCTGAGATGGATTCAAGATTAACAACAGAAATGGATTCCAGGTATTATTATTTCTTTGTTATGTTATTACAGTCATCATCACTGCTCTTTGGGCATTCCCAGGCATCCTCAGTCCTTCAGTGCAGAAGCTATCCCAAGGTGCCTCTACTGAATGTTCCCCCACAATGTTGGTTATAATGTCTTCTCTCTTGACTTTAAAGATGTGCTTCACCAAGCTTTTCTTGCAAATCATGTTGATTGGTTAGTGTTAGAGACCTATCATTATCCACCATTCTAGTCTGTACGATCATGATATCATCTCTGTCCTTGCTTCTTCTGCTTGCCTTATTATCCAGCTGGTCTGCTCATTCACTACATTTTACGCCAGCATATCCATTACTTCTTTAATTTCTTTGTTTTCCCTTTTCTGATCTTCAGTATCAACTCTTTCTGTCCCTTAAGGTCTTGGAGAAAAATAATAATTATTTTTAATTAACTCTTTAAATACCATAAGATTTAGCACGATATTCCCAAGGGGTAGCAACAGTGAATATAAAATATGATAACCTGACTGTCACATATGCAGCAGTACATATATCTAGTTAGGACATTAAAATAACTAGCCAGGTTTCATCATATTTTTGGTTTCTTGGTACACATGGGCAGTAGCTGACCACACATGGTGTGTTGGTTGGTACTGAAAAATTTAAATATTTCCATGAAAATTCTAACAACTTGCTGTGTTGTATGAATGAAAAAAAAAAAAAAAAAAAATACCCCTGTGATTGCCAGATTTAATAAGAATACACTGACCAAAACTTAACTTAATAAGACACTTAATGTGATGTTACTGACAAGTGGAGAATAATAATTAACATATCATGCGTTCTTTAAGACTGAAAGAGTTGAGATAATTAAAAAATGAGACTCTAATCAGTTATTGAATCAATCAGTTGCCATGTCTACTTTGTCTTGAAGACATTTTTTGCCATGCTGATACCTGCAGACTGACTATAAATTAACTATACTTAATATATCTCTTGATGGCAACTCTCCATCAAAGCACACATATTTTCATATTCTGAATCTAGATGTTTATTAATGAACATTGTGTAAGGGCGTGAAGATTCTTCTTTTTTCTGCGTTTGTATCAGACTTGCTAAATGTTCAGTCCTCTGTGGGTCTATGTCACTGCTGCCAGTCTCCCATAGTTGGTGTTCTGCAGTGTAGCTCCTTGAGGCCAAATCCTAACTTCTGCTGGGAGTAAATAGGGCATTCCTGCAGCCCATATTCCAGCATCTTTTGTCTGCATTGCACTTTGGTTGTACCTTTTTTATGTAGTCGTGATCTAAGTCTAGAACATCTAAGAATCAAATGGTTTGATCATCTGGTCAGAATAGAACAAAATCAGCAGCAACTAGAGCATGCTACATGAGAACAGCAGGCTACACAGTAAGAGGTAGAACGAATGAACTTTACTTTCAAAGGGTTACAAAATAGGCACGCAGGCCCGTCTGAAATTCGGCCTTTCTAACCACTAATTTTTCAGAGTACCGATGCCTGTTATCAATAATGCATGTTATGGATGTAATAAAGAAATATACATTATGGAATAATGGACAAAGAAAGAGATGGGTGGAGTGAGTAAAGAGACACTATAGGAATGCAGCATGACATTAACACAACCTACACAGCTAGCAAAAGACAGGAAACTAAATGGAACTCTGCCACACTTTACAACATAATCAGTTGCACAAAAGAAGAAGTGCTCTAAGACTAGAAGTCCAGTCTGAAGCCTAATACAAATTTTTCTCTTGAATTGATTTATACTTGTCAGTAATCTCTGGTCTGCATTCTCTACTCCTTTCTGAAGGAAAGCTTTAGGACAGGATTGTGATTAAAGATAATTATTACTCCTAGCTTTATACAATAATTGCAGTGTTGGGTTGAAAGGCATTTTTCTGGTACATCCAGTGTGCAAACATTAGACTGTCAAAACACAATAACTCTTTGGAAGATTAATGTCTGAAAGTGCTTCCTGAAGAGTTATCTGTTTTGAGTGTGTTAGGTACAAAATGAAGATAAGGATGGAGCACTTATTGGAATTTTCCAAAGGCTGTGATATTGGTTCTCAAAACACTGAACTTATCTCAGTTCAACACTGTCAGATTTGGAAGCTGTGAAACATAAAAAATTCATGGCCTGCCATGAAATATTATCTGTTACCTTTTCCACATTACAAGATTTTGAAGCACTGGAGCATGAAATGATTTGATTTGATTTGATTCAAGAACGGATATCACAGCACTTGGGGTGTTCCCATAAGTGCTCCGTCTCCATCTTCAGCAGCCAGTAAATTGTTCCGATACTAATGGTGCCAGTAGCATTCTGATTAAAGGTCCGTCTTGCCTTTCCTATGAGCCTTGAGCATCTGCCAGACCCTCTCGTCACTCCCCGCTGCATAAATCTCACCAGACTGTGGTGATCCATCTGCTCCTCCAAACTGTACACGGAGCGTGAAATATTAAGGCATACAATGAAATGTTATCTGATTTCCAGGATACGAGACTTTGAAGCTCTGAAGCATGAAATTTCCTTACTCAGGAATCGTAGACAACCACAAGCAGCAAGTGTGGAAGATTTGCAGGAGGTAATAATAATGGATAATGTTGTCTGATTATTCCAGCTGCTCAGGTTTGAGGTTAGATAAGGTTGTTACCTAGGTAACAGTCCTCCTCTGATATACATAATTGTAAATGAGATTTTCAATTCTGCCTTGTAAGTAAAACAGGTAAAGGAACCTTTTGCACTCAGTGTTGGGCATATAGGGCTAGACCTATATTTTATAGCCCAATCAGCATTTGGTGGGTAATGTGGTCAACATCATGCTCACCAGTTTTACTTCCCTGGAATTTAAGACTGGGTCAACCTGGAAGTCAAGGATATACTTGGAAAAAAAACAACCATCCAGTTTTCCTTGAGCTAAGAACAAAAAAACACAAAAAAAAAAAAGTCGGAAATGGAGTTGTAACATCTGATAAAACTTTTGTCTGGTAATTATGAATTATGATGTTAATCTCTTTTTGTCTCGCTTTCTGAACCATGTGTGATTTGCAATTTTTTGCTTGTGCTAGTGAATGTAAGATGTGGAGGGGTGCAGACACAAGGAAATCAGGTGGGGGGGGGGGGGGGGGGGGGGGGGGGGTGGGGGGTAGGGGGGGGGGGGGGGGGGGGGGTCAGGGAGAGAGGGGGGTCCTCAGCTGCCTTTGGCAAATTTTGTAAGGGTGTCCTTAAAGGGCCCATGCCTTGTTTAAGAGCATAATACACAATCATCAGTCCTTAAATCAGTACCAGGTAAAGTCCTGGAGACCGAGATCTGTGAAAATGCATGTACACCTACGCCAGCTGGCATGGCACTTGATGACACCATATTTACCCCTGTGAAAATAAAACACTGGCTTTTTAGTTATCATTACTTTTGTCATTGGAAAGCTACTATGCCATTCTGGTGGTACCGGCAGTTATTTGTCAGAATTGTGGATCTCACATGTGGATTTCAGGGTTTCATTTTAAATGGGAGGAGGGGGGTGGGTGGGGAGGCAAAAAGAATAGACCACTTGGCTGTTCGAAAGCAACTTGTCAAAGGTAAACTAATTAAGGGTTTGCTAAGTTCAGATGTGTTCGACCACAGTTGGTAAGATTGCAGCCTATCTGTTAATAGAAGAAAAGAAAAAAAATTGATAGTGGCTTACAAACTAAGTGAACAAAAGGTATTCCCCTTAGATGTAGATATAAATATTGTTCTAAAAATACTGCGTCATTTCCCAATAAATCTTTAACGTTTAGAAAGTTAATCAATAAATTATTTAGGTACCTTCTTCATAAAGAAGGTTGGCTGAAATGGATGTCCAACACTGTCTTGTCTCTCACGATGGTTATAGACTCTGAGAGTGCTGTTCATCTACCTCTTCATGTTATCCTACTGTTTGTATCACTGTCTACCTCTTGCTCAGAAGGACAGTGCATGTAAAAAGAAAAAGGAGGAAAAAAAACTCCATAGCTGTTTGGATAATTTGGTGTGGATTATAGACAGATTTTAACATTTGTGTCACTAGCGATAGCAGACGACAAAGTAATGGACTATGAGGATTGGATAAAGTATGGTGTGCCCTTGTGCCACATGACCCCTGTGAAAACCCATCCTGAGTCACCCCAAAACATCCTGGCCAGTGGAGCCTCTAGTGAAGTTGAGACAGGTCTAGAAAATTGGCAGTGGAATTTATTTTTGCTCCAGTAAACACAGTGATTACACATTTTGGTCAAGGTGGCTAGAGGAGCAGAAAACAGAACCTTTTTTCTCTGACACCTGAAATGGTAAAAGGTGAAGTGAAAATGAGAAGAAGAAGTAGTAGGGAGAGATCAGATCTGTTTACCATTGTGTGCACATTGTAACTGCTTGTGTATGTTTTATCAATGTCCATAAGGAAAGCAACAAAAAAGGCAATACTGTAGCCGGCCATGTATAGAATAAGTGGCAACATAGGCGGGTTGGCACAGGACTGACTGCCTTATCCTGTAGAAAACTTTAGCTGATTGTGATTTGTTTCTCCCCATAAATGTCTGTACTCTATTTGTAGATGTGGATCTGTACTATATTTGTGGTTGTGGGTCTGTAATCTATTTGTGGATATGGGCATGTGCCCCATTTATGGTTTTGGGTCTGTACCCCATTTGTAGATGTGGGTCTGTACCCCATTTGTGGTTTTGGGTCTGTACCATATTTGTGGTTTTGGGTCTGTACCATATTTGTGGATGTGGGTCTGTACCCCATTTGTGGTTGTGGGTCTGTACCCCATTTGTGGTTGTGGGTCTGTACCCCATTTGTGGTTGTGGGTCTGTACCCCATTTGTGGTTGTGGGTCTGTACTCAATTTGTGATTGTGGGTCTGTACCCTATTTGTGGTTGTGAGTCTGTACCCCATTTGTGGTTGTGGATCTGTGCTTTGCCCCATTTGTGGTTGTAAGTCTATGCCCCATTTGTGGTTGTAAGTCTATGCCCCATTTGTGGTGGTTGTGAGTCTATACCCTATTTGTAGTGGTTGTGAGTCTATACCCCATGTGTGGTTATGGTTCTGTACCCTTATTGTTTTTGCAGTTCTACACCGTATTTGTAGTTGTGGGTCTGTACCTCATTTGTGGTTGTGAGTCTGTACCCCATTTGTGGTTGTGGGTCTGTACCCCATTTGTGGTCGCGGATCTGTACCCTATTTGTGGTTGTGGGTATGTACCCCATTTGTAGTTGCGGGTCTGTATCCCATTTGTGGTTGCTGGTCTGTACCCCATTTGTGGTGGTTGTGAGTGTGTACCTCATTTGTGGTTATGGATCTGTACCCTATTTGTGGTTGCAGTTCTACACCATATTTGTAGTTGTGGGTCCGTACCTCAATTGTGGTTGTGGGTCCATACCCCATTTGTGGTTGTGGGTCTGTTTCCCATTTGTGGTTGTGGGTCTGTAGACATTTGTGGTTGTGGGTCTGTACCCCATTTGTGGTTGTGGGTCTGTACTCCATTTGTGGTTGTGGGTCTGTACCCCATTTGTGGTTGTGGGTCTGTACCCCATTTGTGGTTTAGGGTGAGTACCTCATTTGTGGTTGCGGGTCTGTACACATTTGTGGTTGTGGGTCTGTACCCCATTTGTGGTTGTGGGTCTGTACCCCATTTGTGGTTGTGAGCCTGTACCCCATTTATGGTTGCGGGTCTGTACCCCATTTGTGGTTGTGGGTCTGTACCCCATTTGTTGTTGTGGGTTTGTACCCCATTTGTGGTTGTTGGTCTGTACCCCATTTGTGGTTGTGGATCTGTACCCCATTTGTGGTTGTGGGTCTGTACCCCATTTGTGGTGATTTTGGGTCTGTACCCCATTTGTGGTGGTTTTGGGTCTGTACCCCATTTGTGGTTGTGGGTCTGTACCACATTTGTGGTTGTGGGTCTGTACCCCATTTGTGGTTGTGGTTATGTACCCCATTTGTGGTTGTGGGTCTGTACCCCATTTGTGGTTGTGGGTCTGTACCCCATTTGTGGTTTCGGGTCTGTACCCTATTTGTGGTGGTTTTGAGTCTGTACCCCATTTGTGGTTGTGAGTCTGTGCCCCATTTGAAGATAAAAGGCAGAAGAAAAATAAGATGAAGACCATTTAAATGCTGTTATTTCAGGTGCAGTCATCTCTGAGAAAACTTGCAGAATCTGTACAGACTGTGAAAACTGTGATTGGAATGAAGCTACAGTCTGAGCAGAAAATGGTAAGCCTGAATAACAGAAACTGTGATAGTCTTCTCCTGATACATACTGTTGTTGGAGTGTGACCTGTTAGAAATTCTTATATATTAGGTCACAGCATAATGGAGTGTCATGGTCAGTGTCTTCACTTGCCACTTGTCCTTCTCAGAAATCTCCCTAATATTTATCCTCATTTCTACCCATTCTCTGAATTGGTAGAAAGCATTCGAAAGTCCATCATCTGGATCTACACGCCTGGGCATGCATAAGTAAATGGTATGAGAGAGCTGACCAGCTGGCAAGTAATGCACCAATGCAAATGGGAAGAAGCTTGGACAGGGCTGATGTCATCAATACTGTACAGACTAGGTTGGGGGAGAACGGCAAACCTCTGAGGCTAACATGACTGCATGACCATCTTCGAGGTAAAGACAGGAGATACTATAACCAACTCCTCATGGGAACAGTCAGTAGAGGTACCTTGGAGTTGCTGCTGCATTGGAGGATTGAGCACACATGGAGATGCCAATGTGCAAAGATGGGGATTGTGATAGCATAACTAAATGTAAAATAATTAAGAACATTTTCCGGTGCCTTCTATACAAGCTGAGTTGAGTTGAACTGAGTAAAGAACTAATATCACAACCGTAGGGACATTACCATACTCATGCCATCCTCATTTTCAGCAGCCAGCAAAGCATTCTGATTTCTCTTAGTACATAATGTTGGTCATTATCTCCTGGTCACTCCCTGCTGAACTATTCTCTCCATACCTTAATGATCTATTCACACTTCCACATTGTTCACTTACTCTCAAAGGGCCTTGACCACATCTAACTTGTCATGCATTGAAGCCCTGCCAAATAATGCAGCACTAACCAGCCGGTGTGCCTTTTTATTTCCCAGGACAGCCGTTTGTCCTGGAAAAAAACATCCAAAGTATGCCCACTACCAGGGCCTCTGAAGTGATGCTTACCACTCTTCATGAAGCATACCTGTCTCCACCTTTTTTAGCAAACTTTGTAAGTCTGTTACAATCACACCATATATGGTACACCTAGTTCTTATGTCTTTTTTTTTTAAAGGCACTTATTTGCAGATGGTGCAGTTTTTTTTTTTCAAACGTGACTTTGGCTCCCAGGTTGACACAGCTCTAATTGGGTACCAGGTTAAGTCCTGGGAAGTCACGGAGGTTGGTATGATGTTGACCACACAACCCATCGAGGGCCCATTAGTCGATACAAATATGAGTCTAGCCTCATATGCTCAATGCACCACTGTAAAGGGACCTTTCCTTTAATTACTTTATTTTAGACTGGGTTGTCCTGGGACACTGTGGAATGTCAGGTTTAGTATTTGCTGCTCAGTAATCATTGTTAAAGAGAATACATCTGCTACAAAATGTTTATTGGTTCCATCAACTGTTCGCCTTCATTAATGCACCATAGGTATAAATGTCCAGGGTCAACCAGACTGGCCACATACAGAAGCATTAGTGATATTAGTGCTACCATCACACACACAACACTTCCAACCATAGACTCTTCAAGAGCTACCATCTCACAGCAGATAGCAACTCAGCCATTTGTACAGGGAACTGAATAGTCAGGTCTTTCTGCCCAGGTCAGCTGCTCGAACTAACATTCACTTATTTCTGAAGATTCTCTCACTTCTCGTTCTGTAAGCACCATATGGCCTAATGTTCTCAACATCAAAAACAAGACTAAAACTTCTAATTCATTCCAGGTTTAAAACCTCTCAGGTTCTGAACGTTCCACACACACACACACACACACACACACACACACACACACGCACACACACACACACACACAATTCATGCTTTTCTCATCTGGCACACTTCAGCAAACTTGCATGAATGTCTTGAGTTATGCATTACTCGATCCATTCAAGCATACATTATACTTTGTATTCAATACAATTCACCCGTATTCAAACACATAATACATGCTTAGTATTTATGATGAGAACATTCATTAGCAATGAGAAAATGATTCATTACAGAAGTAAAGGCAGCCAACATGATGCTGACCATATCACCCACCAAGTGCCGACTGGCCTATGAAATATAGGTCTAGCCCTATATGCCCAATATGCATGAGGTCGTGGAAAAGGTTCCTTTACTTATATAATTTAGCAGGTCCTTTACAGACGTCACTCTTATCATAGCCTGCATGTAAGAGACTTGGTCTCTCACCAAACTCTCACCATCTCTCCTGCCTCGTGAACTTTCCTACTCAAGATGTCACTTATATCATGTGCCATCTTTGTGCTGGTCACCCCTGCCCCTCTTTCCTGGTACCATGTGTTCTGCTGTTATTCTTTCCAGTCCTCCTTGATGCTTGATATGGCCAAAATATTTCTGTTTCTGAGACAAGATACTGTGTATTAGCCAATCTTCCTTAACTCTTTGAGTCCCAAGGAACGCATCATACGTTCACAGATTCCTACCTAAAGGCCCAATGAACGCATGATGCGCCGATTTTACGTCTCTCTTGACTACCCCTTGGGCCTCGGATGCTAAACCCCCTGGGACTCAAAGAGTTAATCTACAGATCTTTTTAGGATGTCAGTATTTCTTTTATTCCTGATGTTGTATGTGTAACATTTTAAAAGGCAATGGTCATTCAGTTTTATCTAAGTTTTTTTTTTTTTTGCAGCGAGAGGATGATGTGAGAGAACTTCAAGAAGAGGTCGACAGATTACGGAAAAAAATGGATCCAAATGCGCTGAATAAGAACTATCCAAGGAATTATACCAACAAAAATAAAACCGATGACGATGATGATGATATTGTAAATCGTAGAGAAAATAACAGAGGAGAGCGTGATAACAACCAAGAACGAGGTCGTAATGATAGAGATGATGATGATGATTATAGTAATGTAAATGATCGAGGTTGAGATGATAGATAAGGTGAATGTAACATTCAGAACTGTTGTGATCTGGTTACTATTTTTCTGTTAATAGAAAAAAAAGAGTATATTTTCTGTAAATATCCCAGTCATTTATTCATTTAGAGAATACATTTAAGAAAACTAAGAATTTTTCTGTGCACTTTCATATGATTTACTTACACTCTGGGCCCATTTTTGTGTTGTTTGGCCGCTTCCCCACCTTCCTGATTACGTGAACTCTTTTATTAATTGATTACTGTTATACAGTAGCTTTAATATCTGACTAGGACCTGGCAAATGCCATAAATTGCGGACAGACAGAAGTGAAGGTCTCATTATAAATGCCAGTGTGGAATTTTCTGGATATTGTTAACTGTGTGTTCCAAGATCTCATTTTGGGGAAAGTAAAAAAGAATAAACCCACTAAGGTGCCTACAAGGCATGGGCCTGCTGAGAACTTTCCTGCCAGCCTCACTAACATAGGATCCCTATGATAATATGTGCATGTCAAGTGACTTACTATTTAAAAAAAAAAAACGCAGTAATTCGGGTAAGTAGGTGCCATAGGGGCCCCAGCGCACTAGTTTACCCAGGGACCATAATGCCCCCAGCTCACTAGTTGACCCAAGGGACACGATCTGCTTCAAGCTTAGCTCTCCTTAACAAAACTGTCAGAAAGGGTGACTAAATAAAAGAATTGTTGAAATCAGATGTGTTAGGTTCAGATTTGCATATATCACAACCTAGCTGCAAACCGCAATGCAACTTGCCAGTACCCCCCCCAGTCCACCGCCACCCCCCCCACCCCCCCCCCCCACCCCCCCCCCCCCACCCTCCCCCCCACCACCTCTCATTTTGAAAATGGGTATAAATGAAACAAAAAGAATAAAGATGAGGCATATAATACTAGGCCGACATCTTCACGATCACACAGCATTCAGTTCCTGATGTATTACATGTTGCAAGCTTTATTGCCACCAAAATATTTTCTAGCATGAGTTTTTTGATGCAAAGTTATGTCTGGAGCCTCTTGGTCAGGAAACTCTGATTTGACCCCTAGACATGCAGGCACATGAAGCAGACATTAATTTTCTCAGCTTCCATATAAACTCCTGATAGGCATACAGAGTTAAATCAAACGCTGTTTTGAAATGTAATATGGAAACTTCCAGGACTTCCTTCTCACTAACAGATTAGGACTTATGATCATCGACACATATGACAACAATGACCCAAAAAAATGTAAATTTAAAAAGTAAAGAAATAAATTACATTGGTGGGGTCAAAAAGTTCCTGGAACTGATACCCAGAGCACAGCAAGGTTTAATTATACATATATAGATTAAATTTATGTGATTTTTGTAAAATATTTATAACGCGTTTGAATGAAAATGGTGTTGAAAAATAAAAGTAAGACTTACGACCAGCTCAACCTATGACCTGTTAGAACATAACTCGGCCATAAGTTAAGGACATCTTGTAAATTTTTAACGTCCTCAATTCGATATATTCATTGGAAATCAATTAACAAAATTGTTTCTTTGCATATGGCAGTTAACAAATTATGATACCCAGCTGCATCATAGTTCTGATAGTACTGTTGTTAAAATATTGATGCTGTTTTCCTGCCAGATTTGCCTTGATTTGCTGTTAAGATGGCTATGTTGTTGGTTATTAGACATGTCTTCATTGAACTAGGTGGACTGGTGTTGTTCATTCTTTCACAGCAAATATGATAGTAACCACATGTTGCATGACAGCTTTGCCTTGTTTCACGAACAGTGAACATGTGTTTGTGAGTACATTTAGCACTTAATTACTTTAGGGTATATATCTACCTACATACACACACATACCACACAAACATACAAGTCATGCTTACAAGCAAGTACAGGCACATATTCAGAGACAATGAGACACAAATCAAGACAAATATATCTACATTTAGACAAGCACACATTCATATGTACAGATGCACACAAGCATACAGACAAGTTAACTATGAAAAACAGAAATCATCTCCATAAACATCTGATTTAAGAATTGATGTAGTACTTGGGACATTCCCATAAGTGCTCAGTCGTCATCTTCAACAGCCAATGTATTCTACTTCAGCTGGTAGCCAGCAGCAGTCAGATTTGGATATTTCTTCTTGCCTTTTCCCAGAATAGATGAGTGTAGGCCAGATCCCCTAGCCACCGTCTGCTGCACCGTTCTTTTCAACCTTGATAACCTGGTTGAGCCTCAGCACACATCGCTGCTCCAAAAGGGCCTTGGTAACATCTAAGTAGTGAAGAATGTATTTAGTCACTCCATCATATTTTTGTTTTGACCTTACTGTGTCCTACAGGCATATCACTCTGTATTTACTACAACAGTATACAGTGGATTTATGGGGGTCTCCGTGACGAAGTGGTTTTTAGCCGTTTTTGCCTCAGGTTCTGAATTTCGTGGGTTGTTTACTGCTGCGCACTTCAGTTCACAAGGAAGCTTTTACCGAGATACCGGGGAATCATTGCTAGAGCTACGGAGGATTCGTTGCTCTGTATGACAATCTTAGCAGGCGGCTAGCCGTTTTCTGCAGAGAAAGAGACCGAGCCCATATGGGATTAAAACCTGGTGCAATGAAGCCGATCCTCTTGACTTTAACTTTAATTTATCCTTAGATTAAAGCTTTTAATTTTATCAGATGTTCACCATACTTGGTTGCAGACACAATTATTTTTGGCCAGATTTCTTCAATTGCCTGAGTCTTTGGTAATGTTACTGATGAAATATTGTATGCCATTGCTGCGTTATACAAAAATTTGGTATCATTTGGTTTGAGGTATAAGTGTACATTTGTTCGGAGTTGTGGGAGGGGGTAAAGAGTGGGATTTAATGATGGATTCTGAGTGGAAAAATAGTTATGACTGTAATGTTTGAGAAATTTTGCAACAATTGAGAAATAAATGTAATATTGTTAAAGAGTCACTTGATTACCTGCAAAACACTTGGTGTCACCAACTGGAAAGAGGAAGCCAACTAGAAAGATGATTGGAGGTGGGTGATATCTGAGCAATGAACCTCAAGGGCTCAGAATTGATGCAGAAGAAGATGAAGAAGAAGAGTTAACTGATTATTTTGTTTAAAAGTCACCCAGGCCAATCAATCCATTCAGTCTTTCCATCCCACTCATCAATAGTATTGATACTTTCAGTAAAAAGTATGTTAAGTACATATAACAGTAGACATTACAAATACTAAGTATAAAAAAAAAAGAGCATTGCATGACAAACATATACAAAAAGAGGTGTAGATCAAGAATAAAAATCATGTATCAGAGAGGGTGAAGAAAAAAACCAAGAGCAGTGACAATTATTGTTTTCCTTTAAAAGGATAGGAACCCAGAGTATATGATGTAGATATTCATGTGATAAGAAAAAAGCCATAATTTGTTGCCTAGTATGTGTACCAAATTTAAATTGTATTTTAACTGTAATTTGTTAAATATTCTTTTTGATTTGGTTTGGAAAGATTGCTTTCATTGCAAAAGAATGAATGCTCCAGTCTCTTCCTAAGACCACACAAAAAGAACTGCATCACAGACACTGAACTCTGTAGCATTGAAGAGTGCGAATGTTCGCTTGATACAACGCACACTTGCCAAGTATCCATGGTATGCTAAATAGTGTTACAGTAACAAGTCACCATTCCCGCCCAACAGCAATAAGGACGCCGGATACATGTTGAAACGTCAAAAAACAGAATTAATGTATTTCTAATTCCAACACCAAAACAATGAAAGGCATCACGAGAATAAAAACATTACACCGCACAGTCATTCTACTGGCAAGGCAACACACACACTACGGACGCTCCTGGGCTACTTCTACTGCCACCCTGTCCGTGGTACAACTACGAGCAAAACATTACCTGTTCGTGCCAAGTCACTACTCGTGATTATGTGTCTACCTCTATGACACCCATCCCTTGGGTACACTGTCATAGCAGAATCATACAGGCCGATGCACAGTACATTGTGAAACTTGTCCAGACCTTCCGTCTGCGGCCTGACACATAATTGAGATCTAAATAATCTCACCACACGAGCGACTGTCACGCTGGCGCGGCCACTGTAACAACACTCACAGACAGCCGTACACCTTCCGCCAGCGTAACACAGTTATGCAGGACCAGCCTGGAACCATCCAGACTAGAACAGGCCTTCTACACAGCGTCCTAGAGTCCACCGTTACTCACTCTCTCTCTCCCTTCATTCCGTTCAACGTGTGCTGCCCCGCACCAAGTTTTACGTTCAATAATGAACTTCCCTTCCCATATATTGCACACAACAAGCACAAGGGATGATCTCAGTCTGTGTGTATGCCAAGGACCTATATTCTACAGTGTACTGATAGCATCATCAGCGTCTGTGGCTTAGGTGTTGCGAATGAGCTCTGTAATGCCAGGGTGATGTGTTCCAGCTGCAGACGGCTTTTCCTGCATTGATTTGGACAGTAGTACCCAGAGCTGACCATTCAATAAGCAATGGAAAATTACTGAATGTAAAATAGCAACAAAAAGAAAAAAAAAAATGTTAGTTGCATATCCTTTACAGGACGTTGCAAAACCAACCCTGCCATTTTTCTGCTGTTGTAGTTTCTCTAGGCAAAGTTACATCTAGTAGTTTGCCATTGCTTACTGGATGGTCGGCTTCTCGATACCACTGTCAAAACCAATGCAAGGCGCAAGGCTTGCAGTGATGCAGGCTCGCAATGCCTAAGCCACAGATGTGCACATCCATAGCACAAAGTTTGGACAGTATTGTAGAGACCATATGTTTTAGTAAAATATGTCATGAAGAAACAAGATTTTTTACACATCTACAAGGAGACAAGAAAAACTAAGAGTTAATGATGAGTTAGAATAGACGGGACAGATTATGTA